GCGAGGAAGCATACGAATGGAAATACATGGGAGGCGAACCTCAAAGAGATGCTGCACAACGTAGTAGATGATGTACGACCGGAGAAAGGCGAGGTCGAGCCACGAGTAGCGCTCCTTGCCCGTCGTCTAGCCAAGAACATGAGAATCTAGCTGGTGCTAGAGTGTAGATGCACCGGCGTCGTCGCCAGCGAGAAATGCGACGCGATCGAGAGCAGATCAAAGAGGTTGGAGAGGCGGACGACGTGGTAAACCTACAGAGAGAGACGCATTAGAGGCACGTTCGCATACGAATCGTCGAGAAGCGCACTTGTGCTTGGCGCCGAGCCAGCGGAGTACGTAGTTGAAGGCGCAGAGACCCATAAGGAGCGACTCGATCGTCCACGTGGCCGGGTCGAGGCTGAGCGCACCGGCACGGGCAACTACGGTCCGTGCATGAGCATCCGCCTTGTATCAATCGCCGACATACTCCAGGCCATGCACGCGTAGAGCGACGCGACGAGTTGCACGCCGTAGGCCTATATCCACGTCGTCGTCGTGAGCGAGGCCAACGAGGATGGAGCGTGTACGAGCGAGTGGGCGAACGACGAGTCCCAGAAGGACCGCATCTTCTCAATGTGCTTGTTCTGCGCGAGGTCGAGCCACTCGAAGAGCACGGACGCGCCAAAGATGGGCGTCTGGATGAGCAGCCAGAGCTTCACTTGCTGCCAAATGAGGTGCCACGACGCCGTGTAGCAGTTCTTATTGGTGTCGAGGAGCGCGCACGCCTTCTCGGCGATCAAGGGCGCGACCACAGACGTCGTCGAGTTCATGAAGCTGTCCCAGTCCGGCACGAAGGTGTCGTTGACCCACGAAGCGTTCTTGAAGCGTGTAGAGACCTGCTCGAGCATGCTGCGTCGGCGGCTTCCGGCCCTGCAGTCGCGATGCCAGATGCATTAGCTACGGTACCCGTCGCCCAATCAGCGCGGGGCTGCGTTCGCCGCCTGCGATTGGCTGTTTCCATGGAACCGAAGTTGCTGCGTCGTGTCTTGTTTGAAGTATACCCATTCGAAGTTGCACCAGATGGCGTTCAATTATTATTCCTCATCGTGTTGCATCGAATGAAAAAGTCTGCGCCACTGTATAGAAATACCAAGTCAAACATAGCGGCGGCTCAAAATAATTTCGAAGCGATGCGTACCCGAGAAGCTTCGAATCGAAGCCCACGCCAGCGTGTTCGCTTCGTGGACGCAACCGAAAGGTTAGAAACACCCAACTTTTCGAGTCGGCTGTGCCCACGGCAGCGTTGGTCGCTATAGTATAAAGCTCTCGTGCACATGCAGTCGTCGAATGCCACTGCATTCGTGTCCCGTATACTATCTGCATTGTGCGAGTCGCTCTATGGGCTCTTTTTTCTGGTTCCGAGACGACGTGTGAAAGATACCAGATCCAGATTCTGAAGCAGACCGCGATTCTCGTAGCACTTGATCACTGCCGTGTTGTCGATTTCCCGCCACAAGAATTCCCTTCGCGAGCAGGCTCCACCGCTTGGCGTGAACAGTACGAGACGAGCAATCCCATTGCGATCTTCCAACGCCGTCACGGTCACTGTCTCGTATACACCCTCGTGGCAGATTGTGGGGTCGGAACGGACAAGGGTGTGGACAATGTCGTCATGCAGCCCATGGCAGGACCCTGGGATGTCCATGGACACCGGTATCTTTCCCCAGGTTGCGTGGGGGCATCCGGTCCTAGTTGTAGGCCGAGTTGAAGTGCGGAGGTGCACTTTCGCGACTAATTAGGCGCGGAATCGCCTGTGATAAGGATCATTCGAAAATCGGGGCTTCGAAAAAATCTTTGTCATTTTTGGAATTGCCCCGTGGCCCGGAAGCGAAGCATGTTGACCGAGGTCGTTGATGTCAAGAAGTTCCACGACTATGGCTTCGAGTGCATGGGGCTCTTCGCCAAAGAAGATCTGCCCAAGGGCACGCTCATCTGGTACTCGCAGGACATTGACGTCGTCGACATCTACACCAAGGCCGAGATCCTCGCGCACCCGCAGAAGGACACGCTCATCACATACTCGTACATGCGCGGCGACGACAGTACGCTCCATGGTCATGGCCTATGGCTAATGGCTCCATGTAGAGTTTGGCACGACGCTGAACCCGTCGTCCGACCCGAGCTGGTATTTCAACCACTCTTGCGACCCGACGACGTGGTACGAAGGCGACGAGCGCATCACGACGTGTCGCGACGTCAAGAAGGGCGAGCAGCTGACGTACGACTATGCGTGCACCGAGACCGAGTCGTCGATGCACTACGGCTTGCAGTGCCTATGTGGCACGGCGGCGTGCCGCGGCGTGCTCACGTTCTCCGAGTGGCGCTCGCGCAAGTTCATCAAGAAGAACCGCGACCATTTGAACGACCACGTGTGGAAGAAGCACTCGGAGAACAGTTGGTATGACCCGCGCGCCGAGGTGCGCGCCAAGTCGGGCGATGCCATGGGCCTCTTTGCGCGCCTCCACAAGGACGCGGTGATCAAGAAGGGCGAGATTATCTGCGTCTTCTCGGGCAAGATCGTGCACCGCGACCACATCTTGGAGCCGGGCGCTGTCTCGAAGCGCGACTTTGAAATGTCGTTGCAGGTGGCGCCGACGCTGTGGCAGATTCCGTCGTGGAAGGTATGCAGATGCGCATTTTGTGATCCGATCTCGAAAGCATGGTGCAGGAGAGCGGCGAGAAGTGCGACACAAGTGACTACATCAACCATTCGTGCGACCCGTCGTGTGGCATGAAGGACTCGGTCACGGTGCACGCCATCCGCGACATCTACCCCGGTGACGAGATCACGATTGACTACGCCATGGTATGGTCTCGTGCCCTTCGTCTTTTAGCGATGGACCCAATAAATCGTTTGCGTAGGTCAACGACGGCAGCATGGAGCAAGAAAGCGACAATTTTGACTGCCAGTGCGGCAGTGCCAGCTGCCGCGGGCGCATCACGTCGACGGACTGGCGTCTTCCCGAAGTCCGCAGCCGCCTTGGCGAGCACTTTTCGCCCTTCGTCAAGGAGCTTGTGCTGCGTGCCCAGGAGACGCCATAGGATATACTAGCTCTACAGGTGTAACAAGCACCTCAATTCTGACGTGTACGACGCACTTGGGTGCATCGATCGCACGCCTGGACAGTCCACCGATCTGATCGGCGAGCTGGTCCATTGACAGAGGCAAGGCAGCTGCGTCGCATAGATGTTTCCAAGCAGGAATCTGCGTGTCGATCGTGGTGATGCGCCACGGCTGTAGCGTCGTCGAGGCCCACGGACTCATCGAATTGCTGAGAAGATCGCAATTTCGCGATCTTTGACCAGGCCGAAAATAAGATCGTAGTCGGCCTTTTGGACTTCTCTGCTTCCGGATTGGCCAAAATGGCAGGTGACTGACCAATCAAAGCGGTGGGATTGGCATATCCAAGAAGCGAGAGAAGCGAGCAAGATGCAGCAAGTCTGCGACTGGTCGATGGCCGTGCCGGTCGCCCGTGGTCGCCTCATGCCCATGGCGCCTCTGGTTATGAAGGGCGATCCAGGCTCGGGGAGGCTCGTGCTGGACTTGTCCCTGCCCGTGCCGCCACCACGGTGCGCCGTTGGCATCTGGCAAGCTACCACGGGCGTGAAGAAGGAAGAGAAGTTTCCAAGCCCCGCGCCTCTTGTTGTTTCGCCGAGTCAAATACCAAAGCGCCCATACCCCGAAGAGGCGTACGCTAGCAACGTACGCAACGTGCGGCGCGCATTTGACCGGCGCTGCTCCGTCGAAAGTCCCAGCAAGTCCTCGCCCACCCCGCCTGCTTGGCCGCAGCAACGTCTGCAGGCAGCGCCTTCATTAGAGCCCGAGTTGATGAACGCCTTTGTGAAGCTCGAGACCCGGCCACTACAAGACGCAGCGCCACGGGTCGACTGGAACGCGTAGGATGCATACTGATATGCCTTGTTGCAGGTCGCCACCGCTAGCCACCCCGCGCCGCGTGCATCGTGGGCTGCAGTACGTTCTATGAGCTGGACGAGGGATCTCCACGTCAACTGCGTAGCTTTCCGACTTTGTCGCTCCGATTCCGATCTTTGTATCAGTCGAAGCCCCAGCTCCGACCGCCGCGCCAACGCCGGCCATCCCGCCAGAGCTCGAAGCACCAGCACCGGACCCTTCCAGCTCGATGCTCCTTGAAGATACGGAAGTGCGGTCGCCGGTGGCGTCAATCGACATTGTGGGTGAAGACGCTGATGATGACGCCCGGGATGACGATGACCGAGACGAACTACCTTCGCAGCCACCGATGCTGGACGACGTCGATGTGTACTACTACGGCGGCGGCGGGTATGGATGGACACCCGGCAACGTCGTTGGCGAGGTGGGCGAAATGTACGAGCTGTCGCAAGACGGGCATTGATTGTAACTTCTAAACGATATGATTGCGCTGTGCATCTACTAGTAGGTGGCGCACTGGACCTCTTTACTGCTCGGAGCTGCCGGTGCAGACTTCCTCAAAGAGCCGGAGGATCATGAGCGGGTTGCCGTTCGTGGCCTGCAGCTGCGGGCTCGTGCACAGGAGCTGTGCCAATTCGGTCGGTGACAGAGTTGTCTTGGGCTCGGCCACCTGCAGTCGCGCGTACTGCATTCGGTCCATCGGCTGACTATTGAGCTTCGCAAAGAGGGTCGCAGCGTCCAAGGGCGAGAGCGGCGGCACGGCGTACGTCGCCCGCAGATACACCTTGTCATTGATGAGAGGCATCTCAAAGGCCTCTTGCGCCGTGAGCAGAACGCGCAGCGACCGGTGCGACTTGAGAAGGTACTCGACTACCTTTTGGAGCCGCTCTCGCAGCGCGTCGGTTGCCAAAAGCAGATCGCAGTCGTCGATGACAGCAAACGCCGGCCAATCCGAGAGGTCGCCGGTGGCCTTGAGCTTTTGGAGAATGGTATGGCCGAGCCGTGCCGCGTACGCAGCGTCGTCTTCGTTCGGGACGCACCGGAGCTGCTTTTGGAGCTCGCCGATCGAGGCCATGCACACGCGGTGCCATCCGCGCTGGCGCACATCCATGTAGCGAGCGATCGCGATCGCCATCTCCGTCTTGCCTATCGATATGGGCGCTCGGACGCGAGATAGGGAGAAGAGAAGCAGGGTACCGATGCCGTGGTCGCCCGTGAGCGTCACAAAACGGTTCGTCTCGAGCAGCACAAACACATTGTACATGTCCAAATTGCGAAAGCCAAAGTTCTAGCATCCGCACAATGTATCAATGTATCAAGCATCGACCGCCACAACCTACCGTGCACGTGGTTTCAAGCATGGTCGGGTACATGAGCGACGTCGTTGGCGTCAAGGCTGTATTCTCGTCTTGCGTGGTGGCTTCCATCCACTGCGACGCATCCCGCAAATCGTCCTCGAGCGACGACGACGAATTCGAGTGGGGTTGCCGCTTTTCCTTGGGCGGGAAAATGGGCACTTCGTGGTTGCCGTCCAATGGCAGCAAGATAAACTTGCGCGCGACCTAAATGTCGTTCGCATCATCCTCTATGCCGAAAATTGTTGTCGATGCGAGTGCCTACCTCGGTGGGGTTGGCCGTGCTATGCAGCACCGCCACCGCGCGTTGGCCCACGTCAAACGCTTCTTGAACGGTGCGGCCCGATGCAATCGACCCGTAAAAGTGACTACATACAGAGAACGCGTCAAGATGGAAGCGTTCTCGGCCGCAACGTACCGCGTAAAGGCGATCGCTGCCTTGTCCTCGAGCTCGGACGCGGGCTGCGTTGCGATGACGTGCTTGACGCCGCGCGCCAAGAAGGCCGCCGCTACGCCGCGAATCATGCGAGATTACTATCAGATCGGAGTGGCGCATACCGATATTCGCCGACGCGCACGACGAGAGAAAGACGAGCCGCAGCGCCATCTTGTCTGGTAGCAGCTCCATGATCTCGGCGGGGCTCACAGGCACGGCGGGCCCTGGCATCGACCCTTCCATGTACAGCCATTGGTCGTTGCCGTGGCCCGTAAAGTGCAGAATGGTCAGCGATGCACTCCACTCGCGGAACGACTGTTTGGTCGCGAGCCGCGTGTACACGTGGATTGGCTTGTGCACGGCGTGGACCTGCGCGGCACCTACAGGCGTGGTGCGTCCTGCCAGTAGACAATATCTACCAATGGCGTTACCTTCCGAGTCTTCTGTCAGCGACTTTTGCTAGTACATAGTAGGACCACATGGGCATCCAAACGAGTGGTTCGAAGAGGACGCACGAATTTGTCGAGGGCCTTCTTGAGGACATCCCGCACCGAGTGGTACTCGTTCCGAAAGTCGAGTTCCTACACCCATGGTGGTGTTGTCGTGCATCCTGGATGCATCCTGAACGAACCGAGAGCGGCGACGGCGTGCCTGTCGCATCCAGCTCGACCAACGGCGACGCAAAGAGGATGCCCTGCGCGAGCGTCAATGCAACCATGTGAGACACGTAGGACGTACGATGCTCGAGTCGTCTTCGGACCGGTCTTCGACGCGGTAGGCCACCAGCGGCTTCTTGTTCTTGTTGTCCTCCAAGAGGACAATCATGTCCCGTTCGTGGAGCTGCACGAGGTCATCCGGCTTGCGCCCTACACGCACGTATGCAATCGCCGGCGAAGGCTACAGGGTAATACGTACGCAGACGCTTGCCGTTGAGCGTGACGGGATTGTGGCTAAAGTTGGCGATGCGCAGGCTCATGCTGCCGTCGGCCGCGAGGTCCGCCGAGAAGGTGCACATGAAGCGGCTCAGGCGGTGGTACGTGGCGTCGTCGGTAAAGATGCTGCGAAAGTCGGCGCGCAAGAGCGCGGCAAAGTTGTTGTAGTCGCGCGAGACGTCAATGATGCCAAGCCCGAGCGAGTACATTTCGTGGACCTGCTCGGCAGAGAGCGCGCAGTCGGGGCTCAGCACCAACCGCAGCGCGCATGGCTGGCGCTCGAGGTCAAACGAATCGTGCCGGAGGCGCTTCCGCGCTGGCAGCGCCATGGTGCTAGCCGGCCGCTTCTCGGTCTCGTAGGGACTCGGGCTCGGGGTGCCAGGCATGCCGAGGAGGTAGTATTTGCCACTGCGATCGACAAATGCAGTCGTGTGATTGGCCAAAAAGCGGACCAGCGACTGACACTGCAAGTTTGTATGCCCGAGGGCAAACTACAGGTATCGCGTCCAATTGGTTTTCAGTTTGAGTTTTGTTGCTGGCAAAACGCAGTTTCATGACAAGATCGTGCCTCTTCAAGATCGTCACGCACCGCCCGCCCATTCAGTCGGGCGTCTTCTGGTTCCTTGTGACCAAGCAGGATCTGCACACGCGCAGAGACCAATGGCTTACGAATGAATGCAAGAAGCCGTCCGCACTGGTCGGGCAGTCGGTGGTTGTCGGTTCGTGCCGCAGCGTAACGAATTCCGCCTTCGATCGACCAACCCCGCACGTTGGCAAGTTTAAACTGTAGATGATTCTGTGCCGAGACAATCGAAGCTCAATTTGTCACTGTAGCCGCCAATTACTGGCCGCCAACTATGGTTCTCAGCAGAGACAACCGAGCATCACTGACTGAGGATCAAGTCAATCGCTCTCACCACAACACTTCTCACGTTTCTCCTGTCATGTCATCATCGCGGTTTCAGGAAGACATGACATCGTCCAAGCCAAGTACAGCATAGCGGACTGTGAAGCATAGCACTTGGCTATGCAGGCACATCCATGGACACTGCACGATCGCTGTGCGTTGGGCCGACTGGCAGAGTAGGACGCTGAGCAGCAGCTACACATTTCGCTGGGTGGCGGAAGGCGTTGCGAGCACCGGGTGTCGGGTCGTTTCTAGATGGAGGCTGTCGAGTCGACGGTGACCGAACTTTCGCGGGCGCTTCCTGCAGCCACCACGTTGGCTTTGTCAAACTTCTGTCACGTCGGGGCTGGACCCGCACCCAGAAACCCAGAAGCGGCCCCGTGGCGCCCCAAAAATCTGTTCCGATCCATGTCAAGTCGACGCGATCGGGTCGCGCGAACGACCGCCCGCCTGCGACATACACCTGGTTCAACAAACTGTCCGACGCTTCAACGCGGTCACTGGACACGACGCCCTCGTCGCTCTCTATATTCCTATCTTGCACGGCAAAACGAACGAGCTTCGATTGATTCATCGCATGTTATAACAGCGCCATGAAACGCATCATCCTGGACCGACGTGTTGTCGCACCAAGACACTCACGTGACGTGGCAAAGACACGCGCGCAGGTATAGTACGACCCAAAGGAATCAAAAGTCTCGATGACGACGCTCATCCTCTTCCTTGTGGTCGACTTGATCAGAGTCGCCTCTGCCCGCGTCCTCGTCGTCACTGCCACGACGTTCTGTGCCATGACTTGATCTTTGTATGCGCTGCTGGACGCAGGCGACGAGATGGGGATTGCAGCTATAAGCTAGCCAATCACATGCAAGCTGATGTCCGATGTACGCGTTGAAATTCGGTCTATTATATGCTTTTATATGTTGTATTATGTATAGAATTGGTGGAAACAATTTTATATCTAGATTTGTATGTCGCAATTGGCGATTTTGTGGCGCACATAGCGTGGGATGCTATAACTGTTGAGACAAGATTCGATTCTTCGCTGGCCATTGCTGCTGTCATGTGCTAGGAAACTTGAAGCGTCGGCCCATTTCTCTATTTCCACCCAATTCCCAAGATGGCATGGCTGACAGGCGGCGCGCCCGCCCCGGCCTCGGCCCCGCGCTGCTCGTGGCGCAAGACCCCACTAC